CTGGAATTAAAACACTTTAAACTTGTTCAGATTTTGTATAAAAATGTTTTGTATGTTTCCCAGCAAACTGTCTGTTATACCCACTGTCAGTAAATGTGCATTGTTTGTTTCTGGAATTAAATCTGGACAAACTCCCTTTTCACTGTCCTCACTGTCCTCATTTCCTCCTTACTAATCCTCTGGACTTCCTGATATCATTTTCCCATCCATCGCCCTCTCTATTATTATTTTTTCATTCATCAGCTCCTCAAAGTACTCCTTTTTATCTTCTCACCATACTCTCATCACTTGTTAACACATCTTTCCTACTATGTGACAAATCACTGCTGCACATCCTTTCTAGCTCAGTCTCTCTCACAAGTTCCCTTATCCTCACAAGTTCCCTTATCCTCACAAGTTCCCTTATCCTCACAAGTTCCCTTATCCTTAGCTCATTGTGAGGCTGTTAGTGTCCAGCCTCACAATGAGCTTTTAGCCTTTGCCTTTGACACATCTCTTTTTGCCATACACCTAGCCTCCCAGTACTCCTGTCTGTGTTCTTCATTTCCCTGACTATTCCACTTTTTCTTTAATAGTCTCTTCCTTCACATACTTCAGCTCCTCCACGAACTCTGTATAACATTCTTCCTTCTTTAACTTTTAGCATTTAATCTTTGGCTTTTCCTTCATGTGCTTACAAGCTATTGGAATCAAGTTAGCCCACTAAAAATCATTATTGACATTAATTAGCAAGTTTAATTTAATTCATTAACATTTTAAAATATGTATTTTCTTGCTATGTGCGTTGGTGTTTACATTTTTAGTTCATATACTGTGGTACAGGTTAAAGGTTTGGGACCAGTTTAGCTATATTTGTGGCTGTGAAAGGTATCGAGATTAACTGGAAGCTGGATTTGGAACAATAAAGTATGTGTTGACACTTCACCCTGTGTAAGCAGTATACTTAATTTCATAAATGGCCCGTAATATTGCTGTGTAGTTCAATTAAGGTACATCATTATTATAAATGTCATTATATCATAACTGCTGGTATGAAGACATATTTCATAATAATTTCATAATAAACGTTGTTTTATGCTCTTGTACCTCTTTATACCCACTGTGCCCAGAGCACACTAAGAAACACTTATATGTCCTTTAAGTTACATTACAGAATGGAATAAGCAACTTATTAAATGTCTGTGCTGTACTGTTCATTAACATGGATGGACCTGACACCAATAAAAAGTTCAAATGGTTCCTCACCAGTTGTTTTGTCTCTGACTCTCGTATGGTCCGGTTGTCTCTCATTATAGGTAAGTGAATATCTTTGAGGTTTTAATAGACAATTCTATCTCTCTGTTGTTGCTTTATGGTCATTTCACTCACTTTGTGGAGATTCTGCATTACTATGTTACTATTTTACAATCTTTGCTGTTATTTTGTGGTTTATAAAAACAAACAAACGAAAACAGAAAAAAAAACACATGAACGAATTAAAGTCACATTTCCAACTTCACGTGAACGGCACGGCGTCTGGGAGACGTTTTTGTCTACGTCATTACTCTGCGACACGTCAACCTGCCTTCTGCAGGATGAGCTAATGGTGTGTAAGTTGGAAATAGTGACAGGAGCAACTTTTAGACAGAGTTCAGCGGGGTTTTGCTGCCATTCAGAGTGGGGCTGACTTAAAACAATATTTCAAGCGCTGTGAATATTTTC